ATGATTTTAAGTGATATAATCTATCTATCTATCTATCTATCTATCTTAGTCTCTCCTGACGTTGATCGACGCGGGCTGTTGACCCGCGCCTACTAGGGACCCTTTTACAACATATGAGAGTCAGGCCACTCAGTTCGTAGGAACCTACAGCCAGGCAACCTGTACGTATGAGTTGATGATAGTTTTCAGCTCTTGTTTTTGAAACATGAGAACTCTTATGTAGCGAAGGAAGCATATCTTAAAAAATAATTATATATATATATATATGTATGTGTGTGTGAGGAGGGTGGTAAACATTCTTAGTGTATCTGCAGAAAATACAAAATGAATAAAAAGAGACAAGAGGTAAACCTATCCATAGCCATTTCGTCCTCGGATGGACTTTATCAAGTCAATGTAGGATTTATTATGCTGCTCGTGTTTATATACACAGAGGCGAGGATGTCATTTGTTTATCAAGTCTTTTAAATTTGGAAACGTTCATGAATTTTCATCAGTTGGTTCAAAGGTTCAAACCATGTAGAGGACACAAAACGTCCTAATTTAAAGCCTGGAAAAAATAAAGGAGTAATATTCAATAATCTTTTTTTAATAAATATTGTTTGGATCGTGATCACATTGTTATGGCATGAGAAGAAATTGCATAATTAGAAAAAAAAACCACCTTTCAGCAAGATAGTGATCCAAAACACTCTTCTAAATTATGTAAAAAATTACCTTAAATAAAAAAAAAATGAACAAAATGTTGGAAATTATGATTTGGCCGCCTCAGTTTCCTGACACTTAACCCATTGAATTAGTCCGGGGACCAATGGGATAAAGAAAGTTTGAAGAGAATACCAAAAGAGTGAGAGTGAGATTTTTTTCAGTGCTTTTAAGTCCTTGGGGAGATTTGTCATTTACTATTTTTCAAAACCTGTCCAGGGAAGTGGACAGATACCCGATGCCGCATATGCGGGCTCTACGGGCGATTTTTACCCGAGCACAAGGGCTCGGATTTCCTCACATTAAATTTGGCCTTGTGGCACATCCTACATCGTGGGGAGGCAGGTAAATATCGTAATATGCTGCCTAAGTAGTCCGCCACTAGCAGTGATTTATCTACTTCACACCGCTGGCGACTATTGTATTTTGCTGATGTTATAAATATTACCATTTAATTTTCAACCTCCTTTTTGGCTATTCAATAACCCTTCCTAAGCTACAATAATATATATATACATATATATATATATATATATATATATATATATATATATGTAAGCAAATGTAAATGGATATAAATCCGACAGAATGAAGAAAATTTGGAAAAAACAAACAAAAATCCTTAAATGCAATTATGTTGTTTAAAATGAATGAAATGTTGACGTCTGACGTTTCGGTTTAATAAACCTTTTTCAAGACAATATTCATTAAAATACAATTCAGTTCAATTTGACAAAAACGATGGACATAAAAAACAAGTCTTATCCAAAACAGTTAACTGAAAATTTTTAAAATTATCAGCTTTCCGTTTAACATGGTCACGTTGTCGTCACATGGGCGACGCTTTCAAAACGTATTCCTAAAAATTTTTGATTATTTTGAAATGAAAAAGAAAATGAAAAGAATTCTATTAGGATCTAAAATTTTTATGTGTATGCTTGTCGAGCATTAATCTCGCTAAAAAAGGGGAAATATTAAAGAAACCAGGTCTAGTATTCACCGTGCGTGAGATGGATATTATGCCTGCTTCATAAATCCTCCTGAGATTTTTATTATGAAAATATTTTAATACCTTCACGGAATCGAAATCATTCATTCATTTTAAACAACATAATTGCATTTAAGGATTTTTGTTTGTTTTTTCCAAATTTTCTTCATATATATATATATATATATATATATATATATATATATTTCATTTTTTCTTTTATACATGTTTTATTGAATGTGACTTACAAGTAAATTTTTAAAAGATTTTAAGTTTTTCTACTGTGTTATTTTTATGAGATCTAAGTGAGAACTGTCCATAGTGATTATAGTCCCAGGTGATTTTGGTCAGTTTAGTAGCTATTTCAAGGGAATTATTTTATTATTTTACTTCAACCAGATGCATAAATTTTATAACCAAGAAGAATTCTCTACGCGACGCATCATAAAATACATTTCATCTGTCGATACTAGCAAAAGTCTAAAACATACTATAGTATAAACCACAGAACATTAAAAGCGACCAACGTCCTAATAACCAATAAAAATATGCTTATAAAATCCAAACTTCAGACCACCAATGTAATTTATTGTCTAGCACAAACAGTGATTATTGTAATAAACAAAAACCCATCACACGACAACTTTATTAAACTGAAAACGGATACTTGGGTGATTTTAATCCGGAAAAGAACCACTTATGAACTCAGGCAAAACTGGCCCACCTTTCATAAGATAGATTCACTTAGATGTGAGTTTCATTCTAAAAATATCTAATTAAAAAAAAAAGTTTAATAATAAGCACTTTTTATGAAGCAAATTAAACGAAGCTTTAATATTAGCTGCTTTGAAACTAGCTGAGACTTGTTAGTGGTGTTCTGAAGACTTCCAACATAGAATTCCTACCATTCCAATATAACGATTTCTGAAGACATCCAACATGGAATTCCTACCATTCCGATATAACGATTTCTGAAGACATCCAACATGGAATTCCTACCATTCCGATATAACGATTTCTACTACTACTACTACTACTATACAATACAACATTGAATAAAAACAGAAACATTTGCAAACAATGAATCTCATAAAGATGCCTAATTGACCGAATCTATTTCAGACAATAATTAATAAAGACGCTCTTTGTCTTTTTAAAAGAAAATCCTTGTAAGAAAACTCGAAAAAACAACTGAATATAAAAAGATGACTAAAAACTTATAAAATTTTCCATGTCCGTAAAAATCCATTTAACCACAAACACTCAGACATTGACAGACACGCCCATGTGTATAAATATGAATTATAAACACAAATCAAAAAAATATTAATAGTAATAGCACCTATTGATATACGAAGATTATATAATTCAACTTATATGAAAGAGAAAAGAATTTCTGACAATAGGCTCACTGATAGTAATTTAGAACAATTATTATGGAATCAGAAATCATATCAGAATGAGAATTCGAGACAATCCGAATCGACATCTGATAAAAAGAATCTTCTCAATCCGTGTGCTGACAAGTGAAAAATCCCGAAACTGCCAGTCTACCTCGAATAAGAAGAATGTTCCTTGTCAGTGTCCTTATGAGAGAAAAATCCCGAAACTGCTAGTCTACCTCGAATAAGAAGAATGTTCCTTGTCAGTGTCCTTATGAGAGAAAAATCCCGAAACTGCTAGTCTACCTCGAATAAGAAGAATGTTCCTTGTCAGTGTCCTTATGAGAGAAAAATCCCGAAACTGCCAGTCTACCTCGAATAAGAAGAATGTTCCTTGTCAGTGTCCTTATGAGAGAAAAATCCCGAAACTCCGAGTCGACCTCCGATATGTATTGTGATTTTTTATATTTGCATTTATTTTTCCTTTTAGTTCTTTTCCTTGATATTTTCGACCACATTATTCGATTATTTAGGCTTTTTTCTGTCATATTCGATATTCGATTGTTTGACGGTGGCAGCGACAAGCACATGATGACAGGTATCGATCCGGAGTTTCTTCATTTCTCATTCGCCAGGATTCGGTTAAGAATCATTTTTTTTAAAAATCAAGTTCAATCCAAGCCAGGCATTAAAGCCACTGAAAGGTAAGGGGTTATTGGGTGCGAAAGAATTAGAAAACACGAACACTACTAAGGAGCGAGTACAGAAGAAGAGTAAATAAGGAGGTCAGTAGATGGCGATTGACATTGCATTTAAATTTTTGAAGATCAAAGTTGGCTGGAAAACATGGAGCCAGATTGGAGTTCCACAAGCGAGAAGTACGAGCAAACTGTTGGCATAGAACTTACGGTTGCATTTAGCCAACTCAACTGTATATCGATGAGATCGCATTTCCAGTCTAGTACTGCGTTTATATTCATAATGTCTAGGTATCAAAGAGAAGGTTTCATCCGAACAATTACTATGAAAGTATTTTTGAAAAGGTAACTTTACAGCGGTGGGAAATTGATTGAAGCCGAGATGACATATCAGGACCAATAATATTGCCGATTCTTCTTTGGATTTGATCAAAGATCTCTAGACAAATAACAGGAGCCCCGGACCAAATGTGGCAGCAATATTCCAAGCATGAAAAAAAACATACTTTCGTGATAATACCATTTCAATGAGAACTTTTAAAATCAATTTCTCTATTGGATACTTTCGTTTTCGATTTTTTCAAGCAAGTTAATGCACTTATTATTTATTTTTAAACACATGTACTTTCAGGGCGAATGCGAGCATGGGTCTCCACATGTCCCCTCTCTTTGTTATATTTGAATTATTGTGACATCCAGTTGCTTTTTCCACAGTTTTGAATTCAGGGTTTTCCTTGGCCTAGACCGGCTTCCGGCCATACTAGTTTTGCGTGGTATCCTTAGCTAGGGGGTGTTAGGTTGGATCCATGCCTTTCCCAAGTAGGGTAGCAAACATACCATGTATACTTTCGTGTATGAGGGCATACTTTCCGTATATATAATAGCTCTCATGTATGTCATGAAACAGTTGAGAGTCTTGGGTATGGCGGCAAATATACCATAACCTTAGGTACGACAACAGATATACCCTCAAGACAACAGATGTACCCTCAAGATCCATACGATTCCCTCAGGTATGACAGCAAACAGTTGATACTCTTGGGTATGAGAGAAAAACTGGGATACTCTCTAGTATAGCAGCAGCACAGTAAAAATTCCATACCCGCTACATACGACAGCAGACAGTTTATACCCTCAAGTATGGCAACAAAAATACTGTATTCCCAGATATGATCACAAACGGTCGATACTCTTATGTCTGAAAGCAAACAGGGTACCCTCATATACAGCAAAATATGGTGAAGTAAGTCGGGGGGGGGTAAGAAAGAGAGAGAGGGTGGGGTCGAAAAGTGAGATAAGGAGTGGAAATAGATATGAAAAGAGAGAAAGAGGGGATGGAGATTGAGAAAGAATTCAGAGAGGTGAGAAAGGAGGGAAAGTATTGAAGGTAAATATGATTATTTTCTAAGCATATCTTAGATATGGCACAAGGCCAAAAGAATGGGACACCCAGAGAGGATTGAACTCACTACTCAGTCGTAATTGTCCTAGCGAGACAAGCTTGCTAATCATTATACAACGTATATATTGAGAGAGAGAGAGGGAGATAAAGAAAAAGAGATAGAGGTGTGATCGATGAGTGAAATAGACAGGAAAAGAGTGGAAAGGAATATGAAGAAAAAGATGGTGTGTGTGAGTGTGAGAGAGAGGGAGAGAGAGGGGGAATAAAGAAAAGAGAGAGGGTGGTAGGGTGGATAAGTGAGGTAGAAAGGAAAGAAGTGAAATGAAATATGAGTAGAGATAGATAGATTGATAGATAGATAAGGAAGACATTAAAATTGATACACACACACAGACACACACACACACACACACATATATATATATATATATATATACACAGATAGATAGATAGATAGATAAGGAAGACATTAAAATAGATAGATAAGGAAGAAAATAAAATAGATATATAGATAGATAGATAGATAGATAGATAAGGAAGACATTAAAATAGATAAGGAAGGCATTAAAATAGATAGATAGATAGATAGATAGATAGTCAGATAAGGAAGATATTAAAGTAGATAGATAGATAGATAGATAGATAGATAGATAGATAGATAGATAAGGAAGATATTAAAGTAGATAGATAGATAGATAGATAGATAAGGAAGATATTAAAGTAGATAGATAGATAGATAGATAAGGAAGATATTAAAGTAGATAGATAGATAGATAGATAAGGAAGACATTAAAATTGATATATATACACACACACACACACATATATATATATATATATACACACACAGATAGATAGATAGATAGATAGATAGATAAGGAAGACATTAAAATAGATAAGGAAGACATTAAAATAGATAGATAGATAGTCAGATAAGGAAGATATTAAAGTAGATAGATAGATAGATAGATAGATAAGGAAGATATTAAAGTAGATAGATAGATAGATAGATAAGGAAGATATTAAAGTAGATAGATAGATAGATAGATAGATAGATAGATAGATAGATAAGGAAGATATTAAAGTAGATAGATAGATAGATAGATAGATAGATAGATAAGGAAGACATTAAAATTGATATATACACACACACACACACACACATATATATATATATATATACACACAGATAGATAGATAGATAGATAGATAGATAGATAGATAGATAGATAAGGAAGACATTAAAATAGATAGATAAGGAAGAAAATAAAATAGATAGATAGATAGATAGATAGATAGATAGATAGATAGATAGATAAATAGATAGTTAAGGAAGACATTAAAATAGATAGATAGATAGATAGATAGTTAGATAAGGAAGATATTAAAATAGATAGATAGATAGATAGATAGTTAGATAAGGAAGATATTAAAGTAGATAGATAGATAGATAGATAGATAGATAGATAGAAAGAAATAGAGAGAGGTGGCCTGGAAAAGTGAGATAGACAGAAAAAGATTGGAAAGAACTATAAAGAGAGCGACAGATGGAGAGAGAGAGAGAGAGAGAGAGAGAGAAAGTGAGAAAGAGTAAGATAAAGAACAATAGAGAGAGGTGTGAACAGTGAGATGGAAAGGCAAAAAGTGGAGGAAAATATGAAGACAGTTGGAGAAGTGGAGATCCGAGTGGCAAATGGAGACCTGATTTCAAAGAAGGACAGATAACTTGATACTGAATGAAAGAGGGAGATGAAGAAAAAGAGAGTTGAAGGATAATAAATGAGTGAGTGGGAACGAAGACAGAGAAAGAGAGACACGCACACAGAAGTGTGAGTTGGAAGCATGACAAACAGAGAAAAGGAAATGAGAGAAAGAGAAGATAAATAGATGAGAAGAAAGAGAGTGAGCGAGAGAAAATGGCAGATGATATTTGAAGCGTGCGAAGGAAAAATACACGTAGAGGGTGAGTTAGAGAGCGAGAGAGGTAAAAAGAAAAGAAAGAGAATGGAAACAAGAAAAACAGAGGATGCAGAGAGAGGGGAGTTAATTGGTTTCCTTTGCAGATAACTTTGTATCTCTACGAAATGCAACTACCGTAAAAATTCACAAAGGACGTGCTTCCGAAATATCAAAAAAATACATAAAAAAATACGCTAAATAAAAAAAAAAGAAGAAAGAAAAAAAAAAAGAATCCTCTTTATACAACTAATAAAGTGTAGAAAAATACGTAATATGGGGGAAAAAAGGAAAAGGAAAAAGGCCCAATGGATTCATATTACCTTTCTTAAAACCAATTGTCAGGTGCTTCTCGGATATGTAGAGTCCTTAAAAATAAGAACCTGATAAAGAAGTATAAAAAAAAATGCAATTATAAATAAAAAAAGAAAATGTAATTTTTACCAATTTGCTTGTTTTTCTGCATTCTTTTTTTCTGCCGCCCACCGACAATTCCCAATTTTAGCGCCACCATTGTTTCTGAATGCTTTAGATTTCGCTGCTTCCGGCTAAACAGACTGAAATCCACGGTCGACGCGTTACTGAGTTCCAGCCGACCTCAGCTCGCCGTACTTTTTTGAGAGAAATTGTTTGTTTGCGAATCATTGCGCATACTTTTCTTTCTACCTTTCTTTCTTTTGCTTTCTTCTTTTTATATTATGAGTTGTATTCTCCATTTTTTTTTAAATACTTCCTTTACATTCCATGTTGCTTTCTTTTTATATCAAGAGTTCGACTTTATTGTCTGTTATTTTTTTCAATTTCTGTTTTTTTCTTTTGTATTTTTCTTTGTTTTTTTTCTTTCTCTTATCGCTTTAGTTGCTATTTTTATTCAATTCTTCCTTTCAATCATTCTTTCTTTCTTTTCTTTTCTTTCTTTCCTTGCCTCTATTTTGGTTCTATTCTTATTCCATATCTGATTTACTCTGTCCCATTCTTTCTTTTTTTCACTTCATTCTTTATTTTTATCCCATTCTTTCTTTTATCTTCTCTGCCTCATTCCTTACTCTTTCTTTCTTTCTTTCTTTTTTATTTCTTGTATGTTGCTTTTCTTTCTTCTTTTCATTCCTCTCGTTCTTCGTTGTTGAATTATTAATTTGTTTTATATCTTCTCCATCTTAACTTGAAAAACGACTCATACTTTTGCGCCGTCTTATTGGTGCGCATGCGCACAATCATACACACAGTTCGACACATCAGCACCTGTATTTATCCAGACAAGGAGAACAAATAAAAGAAAAGAGACAAATAACTTTCTGTTCCTTCTTAATGTTATTTTTTGTCAATATTAAAGGATGTTGTCTATTATTTTTGCCATTATTAATTTTCTTTGTGCGTGCAAAGGAAAATCTATTTTCAGTTTCGACCGACTCACCTAAATAACTTTGAATGAATAAAAGAAAGATTGGCTTGGGGTTAATCTAAAGAAATCAGCTCCTGATTTTGCTGACAAAGGAATGAGATTAATTTTACATTAGAAATATTTTAGGAACTGGTTATGTAACTCCTTTGATATCACAGGTAGGATTTGTTAAACGAGGGCCTTGTATTTTAACTAACTTAAGCAAATGAATATTAAGTTGAGTCAGAAATAATTTCCGTTTTAGCTTACCAACTTTATTCTTCAATGAATACATGTTTGATCAAAGATTTGATTAAAGACTACAGAAAAATATCGTTAGAAACAAAGAAAAGAGTGCTGAACTGTTATTAACCATGGATATATAGTACCCAAAGTAAATTTTCCTATTTTCAATTACAATTACCTGATTTTCTTAGCTAAATAATATGTTTTTCAGTTCCTATTAATCTTAATTCAAAGTACAAAGTTTGAAGTGTCGGCATGTAAAATATTTCAAATAAAGATTTATATTTAATATTTTTTTTTATATTTTCAAAATCGGGTATGATATACCCATGGTTAGTAGTGGTGTAACTTTAATTGATGGTTAGTGTTCTGGGGTTAATATTGTGACTTTTATTTAGCAATGATTGCTGGACAATCTCTTCTCAGATGACAAAGGCAACTAAGAGAACAGAGATGGGAGAACAACGATGTTTTAGGGTATTTACCCTAAAACTTCATTGTTGCTCCCTTGGTCAGTCGATGCTATTACTTGGTAGAACAAGATCATGATATTCAGTCTATTACATCCCCAGCATCCTTCTGTAGAACAAAATCGTTGTTGCTTCTATGTTCAGTTTATTCCTATTTCCGACATCTTTCAATAGGACAAAATCGTTGTTACTCTCATATTTAGTCCATAGTATTCCCAGCATCCTTCTGTAGAACATGATCGCGGTTGCTCCGATTTTCAGATCATTGTATCTCCAGTATCTTTCTGTAGTACAAGATTGTTGTTGCTCCCGTGTTCATTTTATTGTATTCCCATGATCCTTCTGTAGTACAAGATCGTTGTTAATCTCATATTTAGTCCATGGTATTCCCAGCATCTTTTAGTGTAATAAGACCATGGTTGCTCCTATGTTCAGTCAATGGTATCCCCGTAGAAAAAAATCCTTGTTGCTCTCATGTTCGGTCCATTGTATTCCCAGCATCGTCCTGTAGAAGAATATAGTTGTTGCTCTCATATCCATTACATTGTATTCCCAGCATACTTCTATAGAACAAAATCGTTGTTAATCCCATATTTAGTGCATGGTATTCCCAGCATCATTCAGTAAAATAAGATCATGGTTGCTCCCAAGTTCAGTTCATTGTATTCCCAGCATTCTTCTGTAGAACAAAATACTTGTTGCTCCCATGTTTGGTCTATAGTATTACCAGAATTTTCCTGTAGAACAAAATCGTTGTTGTTAGCATGTCCAGTTCATTGTATTCCCAGCATCCTTCTGTAAAATAAAATCCTTGTTGCTCCCATGTTTATTCTATACTATTCCCAGCATCACCTGTAGAACGAAATCGTTGTTGCTCGCATGTCCAGTTCATTGTATTCCCAGCATTCTTCTGTAGAACAAAATCCTTGATGCTCCCATGTTTATTCTGTAGTATTCCCATCATCTTTCTGTAGAACAAAATCGCTGATGCCTCAATTGTCTTCGTCATCAAACAAAAAGGACAATTATATATAGAAAGAGATAGTTGAAAATTACTTGGGCTCGTAATGAAGAATGAGATTTTGGAGAAATGAGTAAGTGTCAACTCAGTGGCATATAGAAGGTAAGCGAGAAAGCCTTGAATGACGTATCTAATGAGCCCGTGTAAATGGTTGACAGATTAGGAATCAGGAAACAAAAGATAAACCTTATTAAGCGATACAAAGGAGAAGAAGTTGTCGAGAGCCATGATCACCCACCTCCTGAAATTGAAGCAGAAGATATGCTGTTAAAATAACAACAAATGCTCGTTTTAAGCTCACACGAGAGGTTTTGAAACATAATGCTGCTACTTGTTTGGGATTTTTTGTACACTAATGCCCTCCCTTTACAAGGGCTAAGAATCACTCAAGGTAGAGGGTTAAATAGTTTACTGAGATATGTGGGGAAGATAACGGTTAACAATTGAACAGGTTAAGACTGAAGTCCGTTCCACAAGGCAGCGGTTCTTGAAGAGAAGCTACTCGAGTGGAACTTACATCTCACTAATGAAATACGAATGGAATGCAGGTGGTTTGTCATATATGAGAACGTTATTCTACAGACAAGTTAGACTACAAGAGAAGGCAGTGGTTGTATGATTAGCATGTAAATTAGATGTGTGTAAAACGGAAGGGATGAAATCTTATGGACAAAAAAAAATTATCGGGTACTACAATCTAAAGAAAATGATGAAAAAGAAAAAAAAAGAAAACAGATAAAGAAAGAAAAACAGAAAGAAAGAAGGTAAATAGACAGAGGTAAGAAAGAAAGAAAGAAAGAAAGAAAGAAAGAAACATGAAAGGGGAAGATAGAAAAAAAAAGAAAGGACGTGAAAAAGACACAGAAAAACGGAAAATTAAGAAAGAGGAAAAAAAGGGAAAATAAAGAAAGCAACCCATAAGGATATTGGCGTAAAAAAGAAAGAAAGAACAGAGAAACGGAAAGGGGAAGATAGAAAAAAAAAGAAAGAACGAAAAAAAAGACACAAAAACAGAGTGAAATAAGAAAAGGAAAAATAGGAAAATAAAGAAAAGCAAGCTATACGGATATACTGAAAGAAAGAAAGAAATGATGACTGAAAGAAAGAAAGAAAGAAAGAAAGAAATGATGACTGAAAGAAAGAAAGAAAGAAAGAAAGAAAGAAAGAAAGAAAGAAATGATGATTGAAAGAAAGAAAGAAAGAAAGAAAGAAATGATGATTGAAAGAAAGAAAGAAAGAAAGAAAGAAATGATGATTGAAAGAAAGAATGAAAGAAAGAAAGAAAGAAAGAAAGAAATGATGATTGAAAGAAAGAAAGAAAGAAAGAAATGATGATTGAAAGAAAGAAAGAAAGAAAGAAAGAAAGAAAGAAAGAAAGAAAGAAAGAAAGAAAGAAAGAAAGAAAATACAAATAATGATTCAGGGGAAAGAAAGAAAGAAAGAAATGATGACTGAAAGAAAGAAAGAAAGAAAAAAAGAAAGAAAAAGATATGAAACAGTAAATGCAAAAGAAAGGAAAAATAGAAAGAAGAAAATCATATACAAGGGAAAATGAAGAAATAAAGATAAAAATGGATTAACAAATGGATTATCTAAATCCTTGCACCGATTGATATTGATATATTTACTTAAGACAAAATATGACATCCCCCCTTTCCTCTTACAATTTACACGATAATTTATCGATCGTACTCTATATACAGTAGAATCTCTCAT